TGTGATAATCATGTTAACTTTATTTCATGCAATGAAGGATGAGTGCATAAGTTGCCATCTATGGTAGCTACGATAAAATTCGGGTCTATATTTTGTCCATATTTCTCTTCTGTTCATAATCCTCCGATTTTAACAGTCCATATTTAGGCTAACAAGCCATTGATGGAAAAACGCCGTCGCGCACGAATCAATAAAAGCCTCAACGAGCTAAAGTCAGTCCTCATGGAATCCATGAAACACGATGTGAGTTTTCAGAAAATTTCACTGCTTGAATTGCAAACCAACGCTTTAGGTTCCGGCTCATTCAAAATGGGAGAAAGCCGACGTTTTGGAAATGACTGTGCAATACATGCAGATTTTGAGGAATCAGCAGAAAGCACGTAAGTCAGATTGTTTTTGAACTGCATGTATTTATGAAAGTTGTTGCAGTAAGAACGGATCCGTTGTCGGTTGGTCAATTTATTGCTGGCTTCGCAGACTGCATTCGTCAGGTTCAGCAGTACCCGCAGCTAGAGACGAGCATTGGCTCTGAAGGTTATCACAAGTTGATCGAACATCTGGCCACGTACTTGAAGTACTTCAGCGACGATGCGAGCAGATTTCTGCAGAGTCAAATCGAGCGAAGCCCTGCTCCCTCCAAGCCTCTTCTGTCGTCCTCCAGTGTCTCGCCAATAACAGACGGTTCTCCATTTGTGCCGAACTTCAGTGACAGTGACGACGTTCTGTGTCTTTCCCAGACATCGCTTTATCCTTTGCCTTACCCGCTCCTCGCGCCGTGCAGCATGACTCAGCCTGAATGTTTCAGTAACTCATCAGCTGCGGAGTTTCCAAGGGCGAAGTGCAGGAAAGTCGCAACGCAGGAAAACTTGACCTTATGGAGACCATGGTGATTGGCTACCAAACTCCAGTTTTCAGTGCAGTTATGAAAATTCATGTTCGCCAGCCAAACTGTAAATTGTATTTTAACGTTTATTTGCGATCAAATTGTTTTTACCTTCTTATCATTAACAGATGGGCAATTATTCATCGCTAAACTCCTCCATCAAGGTTCAGATTAGCTACAGAATGTATCTCGATTAATAATCTTGCATATTAACTTTCACCGCTGTTCTCGGCTACTGGTAAAAAATTAAATGAATCATCAGTTTCGCTGTTCTTCCTTCGAGCTCAAACGAATGGGAAATCTCTTACCAGAGACGGCAGCCATTGCGATCTGTAACTTAAGGATATGTGTTTGTACTCTGAAAATGTCAATTCACTGTTAGTGACTGTGAAAAATAAAAGATGGGCCTTTCAAAGCAATCTGGCTCTAGCCATGAATAGTGAAAGAAAGATTCGTAATATCGGTACTGATTGAACTTGCAATAGAACTAAATTGTGGTGGATATGAAACAAATATCCTGTAGCATCAGACTAATCGCAACGAATTTTTCTTCACAGTGGTCATGCACTAAATTCATCATTATTACCATGCGCCATAATGCCATATTAATACGGTGAAAGTGATATTCTTCGTTTATTGCATGGTGCCTGAGTTTCGTATAGCTACTGTTGAAGTGGTCAAATAGTGCACTTGTCAACTCCAAAATATCACCTCCTTAAACATAGGCGAGGCTGCAGAATCATTCAATGATCGCCACATTATTGACTAATAACTGCGCTTCGTTATCTTACGATTGAGATACGGATTTTACTGTGTCAATAGCATCACAGATGAACAAGTTTCTAAAAGCAAAAAATTGAATTATTTTTCAGTAGACAAGAAAAATATTTCGTATTTCATTATACATCGCAGAGCAATTGAAAAAACAAATCTAGAGAGAAAGTGGAAACAAACGTTATCGGCCAAAAGGACCGAAAGGGGATAGAGAACATGAGTGCAGCAGGAGGATCGAGAAAGCAATAAAGTGAAGAATGCATTAATCAAAGGACATAATGGCATAAAAACAGAACATTATTTCACTAAACGTAGTCAATGCGCCTGATTTAGCAGTTTGCTAATCTCTCTGGATAGACCTAACTTTCTCAGAACGAAATTATATTCCAGAGATAGGGAGAACAGATTATTACACAAAATATACCATAATGACGAAGTAGGCGATAAGCGAGAGGCGTGAATAAATAAAAAATTAAATTTTGCGAGAGAAACGACAATGAAGTGGCTTTCTTTTCCCAGCCATGTTGTGCAAAATGAATTATAGACATTAACAGAGTACACTTAAGGCCTGTAAAATAGGCATACTGTAATACGAGTGATTATGCACACCAGGATAGATAAAACGTTTTGAATAGCTGAACCCCCAAAACTTGTTACATGCATGTAAAATCAGTTTCTAATGATGTCTCAAAATTAACGATTTTTCGTAATTACCGTTAAAATTTCAAGGATATAGCCGTAACGCTAGTTAAAGAAACAGTTTTTACTTACCATATTATAAAGATTAGACTGTTAAGTATAAGCATGAAAACTTGCAAATCCATATCCAGAAACAGTATAGAAGGAATGATTTTTGAGTGATTTCTGTTTCTGACTTGTGACGAAAAGTTAGTCTGAAATGGCTCAGCTGTTGCCGAAGAAGCTCGACGAATTTTCCCTTCCAAATTACTGGAACTCGTTCTTTAAACAGCGTGGTCAGAAAACTTTTGAGTGGTGCGTCTTGTTTATTTTTGCTCTGCTTTTTCATCTCGAATTTCAAGATGATGCATTTAAAATTGAAACCTTTAATTTTGCGACTAATTTTTTAGTAAGATTTGTTTCACAGTTAGAAGTTAATTTAACAATATATTTTAATCATCTTACGGCACTGCATCGATTATTGGAGTACTTTCTGTAATTTATCTTCTGGAACAGCTGTACCCTGACCCCGTTCTCAAACGTGCTGGTGTCTTTCCCATGATTCGAAAACACTTGTTAACCAGAACGTGCTTGGTTCGGTTAAAGCTTAGAAAATCTTTGAAC